AATTTGGGTTTTTCGTTATTATTAATTCTCTTTAGCTGCGGAAATATTTCATTTTTGTGAGATTAACTCCATTCAGAGGCAAGAGTAATCCAAAAGCTCAGAGTTGTGAACGATGCTGAGGGTATATAAATTATTATTTCCTGTCCACAATTACCAAAATGTATGGTGTGCGCATCGCCTGTATGAGCTCATTTAAGGAATGAATTCGTGCAAGTTTCTGGGCAGGCGGTGACTGATTGAGTGGTTGCAAGAGAAGGTAGACTAATGGGGGTATACCAGGGGATCCTGGATGCCGCAGTAGGCGTTTGTCTGGCAGGAAAACTCCTTTGCAGTACCGGGAGAGGTGGCTCAGGGCATCAACTGATGTCACTGCAGCGCCTCTGACAGTGAAGATCTGGGGATTGAGTACAGACGATTGCAGGATTTTCGACGCCAAGTCAGATAGCTAGAACGAGTTCTGTCGGAGTCTGCAGGAGAATTGTTGCGGCCGACTACTACTATCGGTAGTTTTTCGTGGTTTCTCCGATCAATAGCAGGCGAATGCCGGAGCAGTACTCTACTAAACGGGCCACGGATCGCTAGCTATCTTTCCTTCCCATTTCTTGTCCTATCCTCACCCTGACGTACACACGCTTACATGCACTACACTACTACACATATTGGGAGACCGGTCGGAAGCTTAGTGCTTGTTTGTGGTGGGAGATACCTGGTTGGGGAAACCCCCGCTAGCCAACGGTAGGTCAGCGCCGGGTCTCGCTATTTAGCGGAGCAAAAGCACCGCCACCTCACAAACAAAAAAAGCTCGCACTACACTTACGGGATTAATGACCTTAGCAGATGACACACTCTGAATCACTAGTAATCAATCAATTAGAGTCATCTTATAGAGTTTGCGATGACATGTAACATCTTCAGCAACGCATGTTCGTATGTTCAATTTATTTTTTCTCGCCAAACGACGTATTTACGTAGTAAATAATAAATAATGCAGTGCTGTGGCAGAATGTGGCTATTTTTGTCAAAAACACTCGTATTGTGGGGCCGTGATAACGAAAAAGTGGATATACTTCGGTTTATATGCAACAAATTCTATTGCAACATCGAACATGTTGTGTAGTCAGAATCCACGGGTTGTGGATGGTTGTTACTTTTTTCTGGTTGTTACGGTTACAATCTACGATTGTTATTTTTTTAAAATACGAATAGTATTTTTGTAATTTATGCTTGGGGTCAGGGCAATTGTATGTATTTAAAAATGGCTCCAATTATTTTTCTTAACATGTTTTCGTCGGGTCGAAAAAAACTCTTCAAAAAGGACGCATGTCTCATTTTTGATGAACCCTTAATTTTAGAAAACTACATTAGTTGCTAATAATGCAAAAAAGCATGTGCTGTTGTAAAACCTCTAGTTTTTCGATGAATTTGCTTCATGATAGCTCTCTTTCCGGGAATCATGAAATAATTGGCTTCTCTTACAAAAATAGTTTCTATTAGAATATTATTTCATTAATTATGTATTGTATCAGAATCTTAATTACGATTGTGTGTGGATCACAAATTTTAATAAATATGAATAATTATGAAGTACGTGATGTGAGGAAAATTATTAGAATCGATTTTTCAGTTACTTTCGTAAAACAAATTTCTAAAATACACAAAATAGATCTAAACAAAACTACATTTTAAAAAAAATCTCGTAATACCAAAATAGTGAATGTAGGATTCAAGACATAACGTATATTGAAAGTCAATAACCTAATGCCGCAGGAATCGAAGAAAATTGTAATAGGATACGGAAACATTGTGACATGTTTAAAATGTCACAAAAGCTCTACAAAGCTATTTCCCGGGTTATTCGTCACTATTTTCTAATTATGGTTGGTTTTTGATAATTAATATTATAACATTGACTTTTATAAGTCCCTCGAGTGGCTAATGGAGAGCTGGCTAGCTTTTTCTGGGTCGACCCCGGGTTCGATTCCCGGTCAGGACAAAAATAGAGCTGCTGCTTTCTAATACAATCGTCTCAGTTTTTATAGCTTTGTGACAAAAGAAAATCTCGTGCAGGCCACGTATGCTAGATACATGGATGCCCCCCACATGACTCCCTTACCCTCAGACGTGAATAATAAATAAAAACAGGGCTGAGGCATAGGAACACAGTTAGCTGGTAAAAGTGGAACAAATGCAATCCTAAAATGTGAAATACGCAAAAAATTGTAATTTATACATCACTGAAAGTAAATGGCACGCTAATAGCCACGGTATTGAAGTGTAAGAGTTGGCAGCATCTATTCGTTGGGACGTGGACGGAATTTCCTGCTTCCCGAACCTCGTACTGCGAGATGTTAGGAAAACTCGGACATGTCATACGTTTTGTGAATTGTGCTATAAGAATATATTTGTTTCAGTAAATAAAATAAATGCAAGAAAGTATATGCTATTTCGTAAATCATCTTTATAATTGATCCAGGTGGCACGGAATGTACACAGTTATGTACCAAACACGCTGCAAAAATTGAAACAATTTGCCATTTGATTCTACAGTACGGAAACGGTGGCAAGGTACCACTAATTCACACCCCCCCTCCCGCCATTCAAAAAAAATCATGTTCTCTGAATTGTAAGACTCACAGCGGCAAATAAATACGATTTTTAAAAGAAAATTTCCAAAAACCTTAGAATATTCGGATTTACCTACCCTACGGTAGAGACGTAAAGCGAGATTGTTTTATCGACTGTTTATTCATAATTGAAGGTTCGGATGGAAAATATGGTAATCCACGCGGAGAAGATTGCGAAATAGAAGGAAATGAACATTTGAACTGGAAGGGGTTTAAAAGGGGTACATAACTTTAAAAACTGCCGGGAGACAACTATGCGCCATAGTTTGGACTATTTGAGAATCACAGCGCATCAACAGCAGATGAAAGTGTACGAAGAGTTTAATACCACAAAAACTATAACTTTGACTTTGAAGGCAACAATCTTTTACTCCCGAGACCTTCAGTTCATCGATATGAACATTCAGTAAATGATTTGTAAATAAATTGAACACAATACATTGAACAGTGAAGAGTTGTTATGTGGCAGCACTACTCTGTTACAGCTCAATGATTGGGATCGGTTTAGGTGAGGGGGGGGGAGGAGATTATACCTCCAGTGGTACCCGACCCAGGTTGTACTGGACCTTGTGCTGTTCATGAATAACATTACTGACATTTGAGACCTATTGCGTTATTGACATTTATAAGTCTTTTAAAGTAATTAGCATCTCAATTGTTACATTTTTTGGAAGCATCACAATATTCAAGTTTTGCATTTCACGATGTTAGGATGAAAATTTTCGGTTCGGCATTCACTCCCGCGTTCTTTATACCACGTGTAGATAAGGAAAAGTAAACATATCGGTGCCGTTTAACGCAGATTTACCAGACAAATACCGGCCAACATTATCTATCAGTAATTATTTACATAATTTGATCAATGCAATTTTTCTTTCAGACTTTCCTAGGGTCATGACCGCATACCCTCAGTTCTCAAGCAAAATATTTTGTCTTGTAAGCAAGAGCTTGTGTAGCTTTACTTGCTTATACCTGCATTCACTTGGTATAACTGTTTATTACTAATTTTCACTTGACAGATAATTTATTCATTCGCCTTATCACTCACCCCTTCCATTCCTTACCCACAAATACAGGGATAATTGTGACCTCGCCCGATGTCCTAGGGTGTCATCTGAAAAGGGTGAATGATTTCTTTTTCAGATTTTCTTCTCCTGCGTTTCATTGTTCTCAGGTTGTTCGATCGCGATGGTTATCCAATAGGAGACTCATCGAATCATCACTGTTTCTGTTCTTCCCGATTCACCAAACCCTTTCAAAACATACGCAACATTTTTTTGAAAATACGACAATTCTCGCTTTTACAGGCAGTACGGAGATTTTATACAGAATCTTTCAAATAATTGTTCGTTGAATGTTTGACCGCGGGAACATTACTTGGCATTCGAAATATTATTCACACACTGATCTTGCCCACCCCTCGACCTCTACTTCCTTTTCCACCATGCTTTTATGCAACTTCCGGAATATTGCGGAAAACGCAATACTCTCGCTTTTACACACATCCTATGATACGTACTAATTTTTCGTTGATTAATATGATTGACTGCAATAACATACATTTGAGTGATCATTAAATTCCGTTCAACTTTTGTATCCCTCCCACAACTTTCAAAAGTATTCTACAAATTCTATATAACTCACTTTTACGCAGAGTCATACATATTGATTGATCGCTAGTTATTTGATCGTCCAACCATCCACTTTTGAAGCATAATTCACCCAACGCGTTCCCCGTTTCTTACTCTTTTCAACGGTGTCCTTACGCAACCACCAAAAGTATCCGGAAAACGCGCCAGCTCTCGCTTTTACACGCAGCGACTCGTACATATTATTGTTGGCTGGTTGTTTGACCGCGCAACCATCCGCCTCCGCATCCGAGAGATAATTCACCGCCCAACCGCCCACGCTGTCCCTCCCCGCCCCTCGGCCGTGCGGTCCCAACGGTCGGGCGAGCGGGCGGGCGAGCGAGCGAGAGAGAGACGGGCCGAGGTTCGCGGCCGCGCCGCCAGGCGGCGCGCGGCGGGCCGGCCGGGCGGCGGCGGGGCGGCGTCGGCGGCCGTCGGCCGTGCCGCGGACGGCGCCTGCCAGTCTTCCTCTCGCCGCTCAGTTTTTGAGCCGGCCGCTTGCCCGCCGCCTCCGCCGCCGCCGGGCCGCCTTCGCCACCCCCCATTGTCGCCGCCCGCACCCCCTCCCCCCCGCCGCCCCGCCCGCGCCCGCCCGCCCCGCCCGCGCCCCGGCCGCGGTGACAGGCCGGCCCGCAAATGGCGCCCAACGGCTGGCGAAGTTAGGCCCCGCGCCCACGGCTCCGCCGACCGTCCGTCGCCGCCCGCCGCCTCTCGTGTGTGCTGTCCACGCGCCGCCCCGGCCGCAGCCATGCAGCAGCAACAGCAGCAGCCGCAGCCGCCGCCGGACACGCCGCCGCTGCCGCCGCCTCCGCGCCCCCGGCCCCGCGCCCCCCGGCGGTCGCCGCGGCGAGCGACCCGGCGTCTCCGCCGAGCCGCGGCCGCCGTCGAAACCCTCCTGTCGCGCTGGCTGTCGCTGCAAGTCCGCGATGATGACGTCGCTGCTGCAGCCCCCGCAGTACGCCTGCAGGCGCTGGAGTCGTACCTGGCGCTGCAGCGGCTAGCGGCGCCCACCGCCGCCGCGGCCACGGCGCGCCGCCCCGCCGACGACGAGGCCGCGCGACGCGGCCGCCGCCGCCGAGGCCTCCCTCGCCGACATGGACCTGGGCGCTGCTGGACGCACGAGGAGGACGAGGAAGAGGACGAGGGGAACGAACGACGAGGACGCACGTCGCGCCAGCCGCCCGCCCGCCGCCGCGCCGCCCCCGCCGGAGGTCTCCACCTTCCTCGGTGTTTCCGGGGAAAAACTCCTACCCCGTCGCTGCTGGTGAATGCCATGTACCACCAAACAGTTGTTGAGCGGACGGCGGCGCGTCGTCGTCCCACCCCGCGGGGGGCCGGCCGGCCGGGGCGGAGCCGGGGCGGGCGCCTCCAGGGCGCAGGCCCCCGGCCCGTCCGCGGGCCGTCGCCGCGCCGTTCGTCGCCGGCCGCGCCGCCACTCCGCCTCAACCATCCCACACACCAAATCGCGGCCCAAGAAGCAGTTCATCTGCAAGTTCTGCAACCGCCAGTTCACCAAGAGCTACAACCTGCTCATCCACGAACGCACGCACACGGACGAGCGGCCCTATTCGTGCGACATCTGCGGGAAGGCCTTCCGCCGACAGGACCACCTGCGCGACCACAGGTGAGCACCCCCTTCAAAACCCAGTGTTCCACTCTCAACCGACAGCAATTGTCCGCCATAACATGTCACCAACACGTGCTACAACCTCACGTTCGTAATGTGACAACCCGAACTGCATGTCCTACGTAATCAGTACTACACCCAATTAAAACTTCCACTGATCCTGGCGTATTCTTCCATAGAAGTTAGTTGCCGTCCCATAACCTGACTCTTGCCAAGCCTCGTGCGTTCAGTTGGTGCCACTGGCGCCGGCGCCTGAGCGCGTGTTCTTGTCACCGCTCGCAGGGGTGCCACCACGTGGTGCCCCCTCCCCCTTACTCCTCCCCCCCCCTTCCTCAACCGATCGCGGGAGATAAGTCTATTTGCACTGTCTGATAATAGTTGGCATTCTTCTGGACGAGATCATTAACATACTTTCTACACTCGATTTTTATTATTAATGCGAAACACTATAAGTGATTTCACTTTTCTCATGTTGGCAATTATAATTATATGAACTATTACCTATCTGCAATGTAGAACGACGTAACCGGAGAATTCTATTATTTATTTTTATTTATTTACTTTCGAACTGAAATGCCCTGTGTACACAGTAATTGTTTTTCAATATCGAATACTTGCTAGACTGAAATCCTGAAAAGACATGAAGTATTTACACCAATGTAATTTAATTTCCCCCCTACATTTAGGATTATTTCCTGTCTAATGTGCCTATGTTCACTCAGAGAGAAAACGTATTATCTGCGTAAACCCGATTTGATGTAGTGATAATTTTCTTCATATAATTTATTCTGTATTCTTTTAAAATAATGAAGTTATAATGTTAATATGTCATTGCTTTCCAAAATGTTGATTCAAAGTCACAAGGTGTTTCACCTTTAACAAAGTTTCATATTTACATTAATATATTTTTTAGAATTATTTTTGCTTAAATGTTCACTGCCTGCTATCAATGAGGAGTAAATTTAATTTTACTAATAACACTTGCCTCTAAAACTTCAAGAAAAATAAACTCAATATTGTAATAGTAACCTTTAGATTCTTTCAGATTTTGGGATAGAAAATGTGAAAATTTGTAGTATATAAAACCGATTCCCTTAACAGAAAATTAATATATCCTGGTTTGTAAATTACTTCAAACATCTTTTACGTATAACGTGATACTAATGACAAGGTAGAGTAATTTGCTACATTTTTAATCAGATTATTTTCGTCAAAATGCCGAAATGTATCTACTTGTGGGAAAAATTCTTTGGACAACACTAAAATGTAAAATGTTATTGTCTGAAACATTCAGTAAGGCTAAATTTTAAATCTAGCATTGAATCATTATTAGTTTAAAAGCATTAAATAAACCATGTTTACACACACATAATTACAAACAAATATTAAAATACCAGACTTAAATTGACGGATTATTTTGAATGTCATTTCCAATTACTGGAAAAATGCATTTTATCATTTGAAAAACTGTATTTAATATTTCAAATCAGAAACCACAGATAAAAATGTCAATAACGATTTCTTTAAATAATTTATCACACAAAATAGAATTATACTAGTATAATTTGCACTTTTAGTATGTTTATATCATGTTTCAATCTAAAATATTTAAAATGTGTTGAATATTTTAGCTACGTTCACAATACAGTCTCGGTAATCTCTGTAGCACTTTATTCTAGAGAACTGAAAATTCACTATTTTCATATGATTTCTATCATTTTTTAACTCAATAAAGTACCACTGTCTAAAATATATTTCTATGCGACTTGCATTTCTTTCCGTTTATCGACTTGTGAAGACTTTAAAAGAAACAATTATCTGAGAAGTAATAGTTTTGCACATCCAGCAATGTCGTGATTAAGGCCTAATTTTATTGAGAGATTGAAATGAGACGGATTTCTCTCTTAAATTCCACTTTTCTTAAGTTAATCTGAACACCATTTCTGGGTTGTATAATGTATATTGTTTTAGCAGATAAAGTAATCAATTATCAGCTTGTTACATTTCACAAAATCTTGCATGGCGACCGACCACTACCTTAGTTATACGAAATTTAAAAGAAGACGAGTCAGGTTCTCCATCGTTTTGTTCTATCTTCAAACTTTCAATACAAGATGCCGGTGATGAATAATGGTGATCCTGTCGTGCTGGTGATGACAGTCGATCAATGTAATCAGCGGTCATTACCTCCTCTTTGAATATCAAGCTACGCTCTCCGGTGAGCTGGCGTGGGGAGAAGGAGAATCATTAGTCTGTAAATGAAGTTTCCAGTTTGTGGGCACCGACGAGTGAAACAGAATCTCGCGTCGCCTCCATCTCGTACCTTACAGGTGATTAATAGCCGTTGAGGCAACACTGAAATGTTGAGGAAGCGAAATTATTATTGATTGTTGTGTGGGTGAGTGTTTACATGCACTCAGCAGTTGTAAAACCGTGCTCCTTCATGTCATAACGGATTTCGTGTGACGGCTTTGTTTTGTTTCCTTTTTTTGCGTTGTAGTGTTTATGTTGTTTTTTTGCCATAGTTTCTTCATTATAACTAATATCTTTATTTGTGTATTTTATTCTCTTGTTCATTTACCATGTTTTTTTGTTTCGGCCGATCATTATTTTTAGGCGTAAATTAAGAGAAAACATACATTTAATATTCACGAAATATTTGAGAAATATTTGGGATCAGACAAAAAGAGCACACCGTACTCATGAGGTGAGCAGAAAAATAATATAAACAAATTTTTAAATAATAAAAGCAAACAACGTCAAATAAATTATTTGTTATCCAGAGTTCTGTTTTGAGCACAAGAAGATCAAGATAGTACGAGTTTGTTTTTCAGATTTTTGTCTGATTATAATGTTGCACTTAATTATGTCTATATTTACGTCTGATATTATATAGTCAGTTTGGCACGTAGATTGCTAATTTTTGTCTTTACTTCCTAATTCGTGAAAACTCTCCTCGGATTATGATTGAAATTATCAGGTTGATATTGACAGAAGAAAACTGATGCCGTTTAATAAAGAAGCCTAAAACGTAAAAGAATCTAATAACTTTTACATAGATTTCAAACAACACAATGTTGTACATTTATTTTATAGCAAATTATAATTCCGAGTGAGTTAATTACAAATAAATTGGTAAAAGCCTAGTATCTTTTTTGACAGACCAAAATTGCGAACCATCTTCCGGTCGTTCTCGGAATATCCTATTTTTGTTCTAAACCGTATAAAGGTGTGTCAGGTTACAGTTTATTCAAATATCTATAGAAAATTGCGTCTATTATCCAAAACTAATTTCCTGCCTGGATTTTTGCTTCATTTCGGCTATGGCATTCAAAGGAAGCCTGGATTGAAAATCCTGGTCGTTTTGCTGCAAGAAACCCCATACGATAAATAAAATCTGGTGTACATTCTCAAAAAATATCATATATCCGCAATAATTAATAGGTTTTGCCATGTTTAGACGTTGGCATAATTAAAATTCACAGTACTATATCTTTTCGATATGTTACACGGAAATCATCAAAATGTAATGTATATGATTTATAGAAATACTTGAACTGTCTCATTGTTACATGGAAAAGTACAGAAATTAAAGAATATTAATTGCAATTGTGATTGCTAAAAGGGAATGAAAATAATATGTATTGGAATTAATTTATTTTACACACTCACAGTTACAATTCATATTCATAAATTAGGAGAATGGCCGAGCTGGTGTGTAAATTTTGAAATACACGTAATTTGCATCTTCATTTACGGAAAAAACGAAGACGTTTGTCGAATAGTTAATGGTATGACGAATAGTTAAATGTCAGAAACACCTATAAATGAGAACAAAACGTTTTGGAACAAGCCCAAAAGTTGAGTTTAAATTGATTAATGAAATGCGGTTCTGTGCGATGTGGTCTGGAAATATCTATAGTAACCTCTGTTGAATAATCTAAGCAAGTTTTTGTTGTTAGTATAGATTGCTTATATGATTGAAATAACTAATGTCACTTGGAAAGATGAGGAAATCACATCAATTCGGGATAATTCTTAATACTCTCGAAGGTGAAGACGCAAAGGCAAGAATACAGAATTCTTAAAACCAATTATAGTTATTAATGTCTTTTGCCCGATAAACAGAAAAAAACAACAATCATGTCTGTTATTTGTCTTATCGACTGTCATAGAATACTGTTCGTCACACTTATGACAAAAATTTATCACGAGAAAAAATTTAAATTAGAAATACAATTATTTCTTGCAAGAGTGTATTTCTGTGCCATCTTTAAGTATAAATATTTTTTACAGTTCTTAACGGACGGTACTCTGTTAAACCTTACCGGACATTGAAGAGTTGCGCGATATAACTTATATATTTCACTAGAAGCATCTAACCCTGAAGCATTTTGATTTATGTGCATTAATTACAATACGATTATGTATATGTTAATGTACTCGAAGAGACATTTGGTACATATTTTTTCACGACCAAGAACTAATGAAATGTTTCTTTTCGTTTATTGTTGAAATTAATTTAGTGGGATGGGATGAAACTTGCTAACGTGATAAGATCTAATTTGCGATTTGTTGTTTCTGACTTATTTACATTTCGCCATCTACAATGCAACTTACTTTAATGTTCACATATCTAATTCATTCGCTTAGTATTCTGATAAACAAATTGCTATAAATTAAATACTTTTTTAGCTTTTTAATCCCTTTATTTTACCCATAATTTTTTATTACTTATAAGTGTAATGGGGTATAGTAATATTTCACACACTATTCCTTACCTTGTTCCACAATTAAACATTGGTTCGAAGATTGCTATAAAAACAATCTCTATTAACTATTTGCTTGAAATATAACATTGTGAAGAGTGTGCTCCTGTCGTGGACAGTGTATACCGAGAACAACAAAATATAATCATCAGTTCTTCAATACTTGTTTGTTTTGTGTATTTTCTGGAAAGAATAATGGGAGAGGAATTCCAAGAACGGATGCTGGACATACCTCGAAAATGCTTTGGAAGATGGCCTCATGCGATTTAACACGTAAGATTTTATTTTGAAAATAAAAAGAATTCTATTGTGGAGAAATATTGTCATTAAATTGGTTAAGATTATTTAAAACAGATGTTTTATTCTTATTCAAAGATCAACTGTGCAGAAAGAGACTTGTGGACAACTCTTAAATTTCACTCACATTTTCAGTTATTTTAGGTTATTCCTTCGTACGAGTGTACCTGTTTCTTCAAATTGTATGAACATGAGTGACATTTTATACTTGATTTATACTTATCTAATATTTTTCTGGGTGAAACAAAATCAAATGCATGATTACAATTTCAATTAATACGAAATCAAAAAGAGTAATATTATCAAAAAATATGACAAGGAATAAAATCGAAGCAGACATTAACAATAATGTAGGTTAGCAAGTACAATATATTTTGTTATGAAATATTTATGATACTTGAAGTTATTTAAGAATTTCTTAACCATGTGTTATGTAATGCCCTGACAATTGATGTGAATGTCTTGAAAACTCGAGAAAGAGGTAACACGTTTTTGGAAAAGCAAGTAGGAATTTGCTGCGGTTTGCATTAATTTACAAACCACAAAGACGAACAGTACATCAACGTATTAGAAAATATACAATTAGATATGTATTATATTGTTTCAATTTCAATTATGATCATTTACCAAAGGTCTTTCTCAATAACTTTTGTTACGTTCAATGGAAATGTTGCTGTAACATCACTGTTGTTACATTACACCTGTAACGAAATATTTACCATCATTTACAAAATAATATTTAAATCGGTATGATTTGTTTATTCTGATTGGATACAAGAAGACGGCATGAGTGCAGAGATAACACCTGGTTAGTGATGTTGCTTTAATTGGTTCACACTAGGTTTATGACCGCACGTCTTACGTATTTTACATCTTTCAAATAAAATTTGTATAACATCGAAATTTTCGCCACACGTAGGGATTTATTTCATATATGAGTGCCGTCTCACAAGCAGTATTTTCTGAATTGCATTCCATCAACAAGTGGAGTGAATTATATTAATGTATCTAGAATTTAATTACGAGATTAGACACAATTTCTGGCTACAAATATTTTGTATATTAAAATTAAAATAACCTTTAAAAATTCAAGTGGCATTTTTGAGTCGCACTGCGGATATTTTGGGGTTTATGTTTCATTTATTAATCTACTTTCCCAAAACAAAATTCATTTTCAATTTATCTAAGAAGTGCCTGACCTCTGAAACATATATAGCCCTCAAATCCGGGCCTAGCTAGCTTATTGGGCTAGCTAGCGCCTTACTACACAAAAAACCGGTTGAGAATCATCACTTTAAAACACTTGGGTACAGTTCCCACTTCAGATTTGAACGAGCCGTCTCCAAACTCTCCGTCGTTTTTTCCACTCTCACCCAAACTCTGAGAGATGCCACAGGGGCGTGGTTCTGTCCTCAAGAAGCTACCCGTCCCCCAAGCCACGTCCGTCCTCAAGCATTACGACCTCCATCCCGCCCTCTCCGTCGCTGCTGCCGCTAGTTACTGAGTTCCAGCACCAGGTAGCGATGGCGGCGTAATCTCTGTTTATGCTTCGACTTGTCAGTCACAACTATTACCAATAAGCCGTCGATATAGCAACGCAGCCGGCCGGGTCGGCTCGCGCCTGTAATGTGAGGTTATGGGACACCGCGCTCGCCCAGGTGGGCTGCCATCGTGGTCACGTGACCCAAGGCGACGCTTCTCGATCGTTTCTTTTTTTTTTTTTCCTTTCTTTTCTTACCGCGCCTGCTGGATATACCTGTTCTCGAACGCGACTATCCTGTTCCTTGGGGTTAAGTTGGAACAAGGGTCTTGGAGCGAAGTGCTATCGTTTAGCGATAGTTTTGTCGGGGATGGAGTTTTTCTGCGTGCTGCTTCGCGCACGAGGTGGCCTGGCGCGTGCCCGTGTTACTGAGATGATGGAGGTTGACGAGGTGGTACAGTCCGGGTCGTATTAAAGCGCCGGTTCTGTCAACATGCCATTACGCGAAAATATGTATACCACCTGGCCACGTAATTACAAATTACGTCTTAATTTCATTTTGTTTGAAGATATTAGCTTTATATTATCATCTATCTGCTTTATGGTTGATAACGCAATTGAACTTGAAAATGCATTCTGTTACATTTGCAGGTATTTTGTTAACCTATATTTACAGACAAATAACACATAATACCACAAATATTTTAGATTTCTGTATCATCAATTACTGTGCCACATTTACTTTACAAATTCATTGAGTAAAAATAAGGACATTTGATTGTCATAATAATGAGGCATGATATTTAGTTTTATTTAATGACTAAATTTATTTTTTAAGATGTGCATCGAAATTTTTATATTTTTCAAGGAAAGAAGTAAGCATTTTCTAAATTTCCAACAACTTCCTTCTTTCTACTTTTTACTTAAACTTCCATTTGTTAATGTGCAAAAGTCTCAGCAATATGAATGAATAAAAAGTCACCATCAAAAATATCTATTTATAATTAGAAGTGTTTAAAGAAAACAGTATCAAAAGTTAATCTCATCATTCTTATTAAACGTTTTTACTGTACATTAATTATTTTTGACAGATATTTTTTAATCTTTGTAGTATGAATATTAAAAGACAAATGTGTCATCCTATCTTATGTACTGTGGTTATACGTGATTTATTGTGTGATTTGGTAGTATTCAGAAGCAGATGATAAAAATATCATTTATGCTATCCTTTATTTGTGCTGAGAAAATTCCAGCATCAGATGCTATGAATGTCTATTTCTGTTCCCTCTTAAATCTTCTCTGAACCCACACCGAAAAAAAATTCCACGGCCTGCTGATACATTCACCTCACTTACCGACCAACCCTCCGACATCGTCACTCTCGCCCAAGTTCATTTGGGCGCGTGGGCCGGAGAGAGGGGGTTGTGGTGGGGGGCGAGGTGGGTGATTGAGCCGACGGCCCGCGGGCGTCGTGTTTGTTTTGTTCGCGAGCGGGTCGTTTCGCGCGTGACGTCATTTCCGTCGCCCCGGGCGGCGACGTGACCTCCGCCACGGCGCGGTCTCGCGGGCGAATGGGCGGGCGCGTGGCGCGGGCGGGGGAGGGGGGAGGAGCAGGAGGAGGAGAAGAAGATTCTCGAGCGACGCGTCTTTGTTTCAAGCTGGGCGTGGGCGGGGACATCTTAATATACGCGCCGTCCGATTCCGGCTAGAATTCCAAAATGGAGGAACGCGCCGGAGAGGAGTTTCTTCGAGGGGGGGGAGAGTGCCCGGGCCCTGGTCCCCAAACTGCCAAAGAGGCGGGGGCTGGAGGGCAAAATAGTTATTACTCCGATGTAAAACTACTGACAGGGTTGACGTTTCTAAGCTGAAGCGTTAGCTGATGTTCATAACAACCAAGTTCGTTATTTGGAATATCGGCTTTTTCGTAATACTACCTTCCTGCAAGAAAAATTATGATTAAAAATATATTTTCTTGAAATGGGAGAACTCAGTCGATATTTTCAGCTACAACTCATTTGTTTCGATTGATCTTAACTGGACTATAAAATTCGTAACGGACGCCTGGTCTTACGAGAAATTTTTCGTTCCTCTGTTCGTGTTAAGTCGATATAACACAACAGTATTACGAACACTGTTTTAATGCAAATGTTTTATTTGTAGTGCTTAATAATGTAGACAGCGTGGCTCTGAATTTTCGTCCTAAACAAAATACATTAATGTGAAGTTATTGATATCATTTGCTTTTGTATTAATTTTCCAGCCATCTGCAAAACATTTGTCTTCAATATTGCCTAAATATTATTGAAGCAAATATAAAGTGAAGTATTATACTGTGAATATAATGAGAGCAAGGAGAAAATAAAGAAAAGAAATTGTTCTGATTTCATATCCCTCTGCGTGACACTTCTTTAAAATAATACATAAAAAATATGGAAAATAATAGGAACTGACAGGAGATGAGTAAATAGTGTAAAAAGAAGATTAAGAACAATGATTATACAAAGCATTATTTAGAATGTATTTATTGCTTAAATATTCATTTCACATTTTTTCACCTACACTTTTATTTTTCATTCGTCTTTCTTTTCTCAAAATGAAGCTAAATGGCCCTTATCTTTAGTGTCCATGGCACACGTGCCACATATGCCATATCCTAGTTGCTCAACCGTTTCTTCGTTCAGAGCCTTTGTGTCATCAGAGAACGAAATGATTTAGAGACGCAAAACTTGTAAGATTTTTGTCACCTGTCCTCAGGAC